CTTGGCTGAGAACAATGTTCTGTTTGAGGGCATTCTACTCAAGCCGAGCATGGTTACTCCTGGAGCTGAATGCAAGGATAAGGCAACCCCTGAGCAAGTTGCTGATTACACTCTCAAGCTCCTTCATAGGAGAATCCCCCCGGCTGTCCCTGGAATCATGGCAAGTATCATACTTAAATCTAATATCCATAGTTTTCCTTCAATGACTAAAGAAATTATGAAACAAGATAGAATCAGGAAATTGCAATGGAATCGGACAAAGAGATGTTATCAGGGCTATTATACAAATAGGCTTACGTGCACTAGACGAATTAGACAAAGATTCATTATGGAAACTTAAGCATTTTTGGCTAAGCTTAAAAGTCTACGTATAAGTAAATAAGTGTTGAAATGAGTTGATTTTTGTTGATTGAAGTTGAAAATGAGTGAATTACTTATTTGACACTAAGTTACCCTCCAAGTAATTTATCTGTTCTTGTGACCTTGTGCATATACTGAAAGACAATTGTTTGATTTGAGCAGTTCTTGTCTGGTGGGCAATCTGAAGTGGAAGCAACCTTGAACTTGAATGCCATGAACCAAGCTCCCAACCCATGGCACGTATCATTCTCCTATGCTCGGGCGCTCCAGAACACGTGCTTGAAGACATGGGGAGGACGCCCCGAGAACATTAAGGCAGCACAAGATGTTCTGCTTGTCCGGGCCAAGGCCAACTCCCTTGCTCAGCTTGGGAAGTACACTGGTGAGGGCGAATCCGATGAAGCCAAGAAAGGAATGTTTGTCAAGGGCTATGTCTACTAAGCTCAATACATTTAAGTCTATGTATGAAAAAAGAATGTGATCATGAAGAGAGGAACATGATGGAGATGGAACCTATTTTTGTTTCATTATATGTACTTTTATCCACTTGATAAACTTTGTGCTAATGAAACTAGTTAGTGTATATCATGGTGGTATAAAAATTTTCTACTTGTGGCTCGGGTGTCAAAAAACATCTGTTCAAAACTTCAAATTTCAATGCCTTTGTAATGGTCCAAGATTTAGCTTTTGGGTTCTTTATTCTGTCTATTTCATTGAGCTTCTATTCGAGATAGTGCCCAAATCATTAGGTCTTCCACGCAAATTTACCATAAAGGATATTGTACTATCTTATCACCGTTGTGAAGGACAAATTCGAGTGAGTCATTGGGCTATAAATGCCTGCCCAATCAAAATATATATATATATATATATATATATATGTGTGTGTGTGTGTGTGTGTGTAGAAATGGAAAATTATTCAATAGAAACAAAGTATTAATATGATTTTTTTTTATTTTTTTTATATATTAGCCCAGCTCAAAAAGATTTATTCTCACTTTAACTCTGGCTGTAATGGTCTTAGTTACATAATCAATTCACTGAGTATTTAATTGCCTACTTTACTATCATTAGGTCAACTTTCTTGACTTTCCTACAATGGGAAGTGTGGTTGGAAATCTATTATAGGAGAAAAATTTCGGTGGGACGATTGCACCATTCTACGCGGAGCGATCGTCGAATGAGAAGTCATCACCTCATCAGGTGGTTCACTCTCACCCAATGTAGTCAAGTTGGTTGTTTTTTGTAATAACCATACTAGATTTCGAAATAGTAAAGATTTACAATAGAGTAAATCATAGATGCCAACAACATCTAAAAATGAGAGTCCTCTTTGATAAGGAATCGTTATCTGAATAAATGAAAATCAATTTTAGGAAGTACACACTATATGCTTAATTATTATGTCGTGAAAATTCTGTCCTACAAATATATGCTTGCTTTTCTTTTTCATTTGCACCAAATTATAAGCTTTTTTGTTGAAATTATAGTTGATTTCTTAATTTACTAATATGTCCTTATTTAATGTATCTTATTATTAACAAATATAAATTGTTCATTTTTAAACAATTATTTAATGTATGGGTATAAGGGAAAAATATAAGTAAAAATTATATTTCCAACTATATTAATTGTATTTTTCCTAATATGTGTAAAAATGGAAGCAAATTGACTTTTATGGGACGCAAGAAATATTATATATGATCCATCATAGATCGATACGAAAATTATGAGCAAGTCAACAATAAAAAAATAAATAATAAATAAATAAATTCTAAGCAATTCGATTTCTAAAATTTAGAATTACCTATTGTGGGAGGGAAAATATGAACTGGAGTCATCAAAAGCTTTCAAACTCAACCTGGCCCCTTCCCGTGGACTCACATTTTAGTAGAAGACGATTGGAGTATACTTGGTAAATAATGGATAGAATCGTAGAACAATCATGAAACATCTCACAATCTTTGGTTTTTAATCTTGTTTAATCCTCGAATTCATCATAATAACACACTAAACATGTTATGCAAAATTACTCATTTTCAAAGTTCAACCAAATCGACAACTTTTAATGGGTAAATTTCGTTCGCAATAACCATAATTTCACTATATTCACTCAAGTAATTATACTTTAGTTTTGTTTGATTGGTTCTACACTTTAATTGAATTTCAGTCGTGTAATTCCATTTCTTAGACTGACGAAAATTGATAATAAAGTAATCAATAAATGATGGTCATCCGTCATTTATTTCAATAAGGTGTACGTAATTCATGTATGCAACTAATAGTTACGTGTAATAATCATAATTTAATGATTGTAACGTCATCAATTATCATTAGTAAATTGAGCAAAGTTACCTTAATTGAAATCAAATTAATATGTAATTATTTGATTGAAATCAAATTAAAGTATAGTTATCTTATTGAAACTAGAGCAAATGTAGAGTTTCCGCGTCATTTCCTAATTTTGTTCCCATCTGACTACGAAGTTGCTATCAATACTATGATCCTTAGGCTGTAATAAAAAATGCATAATCTTCCCAACCTGCAATGTAGTAAATAAAATGAACTGCATGATACCAAACTCGTGTAGACCTAGAAAATTTACTGGTAAGTTTACTTGTAAATAATAAGTGAATTAAGAAACAGATAATTCCTCTGTAAATAAACACTAAAAATAAATTAATCACTTCAAAAGAAAACACCGCATTAGTCAAAATAAGTAATTTTTTAACCGAAAAAGTAGCCCCAATAAAAAAAAATTTAATAATTGCAGCAGCGATTCCGAACCTTTTCAATTTTTGCGGATTTTACCATAACCTTCATCTTGTACCAGCGAAGGTCTCTAACCTTTCATAAATATGCATCTGAGGTCCAAATGGATGGTTTGACCGTTAGTTGACCAAAGAATTGACTTTGACACCAATTTTTATTAATTATAAAAGGACAAAATGATAACTTTACATATTTTTACATAAAAAATTAAATAAAAGAAATCTACCCAAACCCCCTACACCAAACCACCCACTCAGTGTACCCTACGCCTAAATAAAAAATATATATAAAAATAAAAAAACACAAACCGTTGGCATTGTCGGCCCCACCATGGCCACCACACACATAATGCCGGAGAAACCACCGGATCTTAACACCACCAACACCACCTCATCCCACTCTTCAAACCCATAACAAAAAACAGTTTAAATTCTTCGATTCTATCATCTTCATCCTTCAATATCTTCCTTATTACTACCATTTTCCGAAACATCAGTCGATAAACTATATTTTTGCTATCTTTGAGCAGCCGTTGCCTCTTCCAGCAAACGGCATGGCTCAAGCCGCCTACAAATCTATGAAAATGTTTCTTGAATCTCATCCAGGTCCTTCTCCGGCGAACGAAATTTTCCAGCACCCAGATTTCCCACGAAACAGCGTCAGCTTCGCATTACGCATAAGCATCTGGATTTGCCACCTACAGCAGAGGCTCAAGAATCGATCCAACATGATGCTCAATTTGGATTAAAATGGGTTCAGAAAAAGGATTCTTTAAGCGAAAATAGGATCTAAAAAAGGGAATTTTTTAAGTTGATTACTAAAAATGAAATGGGTTTCTTGGATAGTGAGATTGAGAGAAGAAGATGAAAGGGGAAAAGGGTTGAGAAGGTGAAAAATTGATTTTCAAACAGCAAATAATTAGTTACAATGTGACTACATGTAATAAAGTGATGGTAGAGGTAGCTGGTTGTGGTGACGTTGTCTTGATGTTTTCCAGCGAAGAGATGAAGGAGATGACCGAGAGGAAGAGTTTCGGGTAGGTTGTTAGTTTACTTTCCTTTTGTTTTTATTTTAATTGTTAATATTTAAGAAAATAAAAAGTACCATTATACCCTTCTTAATTTGGTCCTAATTGGTCAAATTTTGACTTTTCTAGTAAACTAACGGTCAATTTGGACCTCAAATGCATATTTATGAAAAATTAAAAATCTTCGCTAGCACAAAATGAAGGTTAGAATAAAATCCACAAAATTTGAAAAGATTTTGAACCACTACTACAATTTTCCCTAAAAATTTTCTTGAAAAGTAAATTTAACTCGCTATTTGTTGATGACTAAAAATGACTTAACAAATTTAAACCAACTCAAATGAAATTTAGTTAATTGATTGCTGGAATTTGGAAAAATTGAAACATAAATTTTATTGATTGAAGTTTGAAATGTATTGAAGAGAATACATTGAGTTCGATATGTGGAGGGGATCATTTGTCCCCATTCATAGGCCGAAAGACCATGCCACCTGCCCACTCTGTGCCATTTTAGCTACAATGTTGGCCTAGAAACGTGTGCCACTTCCCAAATTTTGGTCCTTTGATTGGTCATTGATGGTCATGCAAACCACCATGACATCCATAGACTATAGCTATGGCATCAAACAATGATTAACTTACATTGGGTAATCATTGCAGGCTCGTGATTGGATGAAAGGAAGGCACTAACGGCTACCACATATTACTCTGGGAGTGATTGATAGTTAAGACAGAAGCAGCTTGTCAATGACATCAACACTATGAATCTTACCCAAACACGTATTTAAATCGACTTTAGCCTAAAATAACCAAGAACGACAACCAGAAGAATTTAGTAAGAGAATGAGAAAAGATTGGCCATGTAGCCATTCCTGCGAAGCAAACCAAATGAAAGAAAGCAAGCAAGATTCAGGACTCCTAGTTTGGTCACAGAATATGCATAATTACACACCTAGCAACAGATTAATAACAAAAAATAATAACTGATTTTCTGTGCATTTTTATGCAATGCTTCTCGCTTTCCAAAGATCTAATTTACAAGAGATTATCTACATCTCACTATACTCTATCAAATTTATTCACTGGAGGCAGCAAAATATTTCTCCCTTGGGAAAACACTATGGTTAGATGTTGTAGACTTGCTGCTCGTCATATCCCATCCGGCCCTAAATCCTCTCCCCTCAAGGTGTCTATAACTGCAAGGATTTCCAGGAAAAGAGAGGAGATTAGGACATTTGAAGTAAAAAAAGTTAAAAATTTCGAGTCCTATCAGCAAAATATCAATCAACATTCGACACCAACCTAATGTGTTTTATATGCGCATAAAAACTAAAAATCATTTGGAAAGTTGAAATTTTCGTTTAAAGAACTCTATGCCGGTTATTCTAACCAAATTTCAGTGCACCAAGTCTTTCACTTAGTAGATGTATAAATCAAGCAACTTGATTTCAGTAACTACAGTATCATTAAGGCGATTGCTTGAAACAACAGTTAATGCAAGATGAGCTTGTAATTGTATTCTCAACCAAGAAGTGTAGAAATGAAAATCAGCGTATGCATACTAAACAAACATATTTAGCATAACCATTTGAAACCATCTATTCTACACAGTGATAGGACCAGTACAAGCAATAGCTTCAATCCAAGCTGCCATCTCCTGTAGAAAGATGCAGCTACAGAATGCATGAGAGAAGTGGCCTATATCTGCACTGAGGTGAAAATCAAATGCACGTGCCAGAAGCAATAAGGCTGACAAACTTTACAATTTAGATGTTTTAGGATCTCGATATACATAATAAAGGCTATATGAGAAGAATTTCCTATCTATGTTCTCTACGTCTGCAAATGCAATTGCCCTTATAAACTATTGAGTATTGATCCACCTCCACACCACACTACACCACACCACACCACAAAAAGTAATCATTTCTTTATTCATTTATGAAGGTTGCACGAACTAGGAATATAAAATTTTAAAAAGAAACATTTATCTGAAAATTTGTATTTTTATTACATGTAAAGCAGAATGGTGGGTTCATTTTCCTAGTTGTTTAATGCCATCTGTGAAACTACATATCCAGCAAGGAAGGAAAAAATAAATAAATAAAATCTGAACCACATACAGACAATACAAATAAATCAAGCACTATCGATAATCGAAGTTTAAGCAATGTAAAATGCCTAAAATAATATATGTCAAACTCCTGCTGATACAGAAAAGGAGAGGAGACAGATAGATAGATAGATCAGCCAGTGAAAGTTTAACACAATTGCATGCCATAGGAGAATATTTCAAATATAGCAGAAGGTGGATTAAATAGATACCTTGAAAGAAAATAAAGAAAATAACAAATAAACCCTTAACATTTTCAAACATTTGTCAAAGTAAAACAAATAATTTAGTTTGATTTTTAACTTTTTCTGGATAGTTCTCATTCAAGGTATTCGAGATATAGATCTAAAACATCAATCAATTCATTACCAACTAAATTGATGGCAAAACAAGATAACCAAATCTTTTATGTCATCAAATGTCAAAGCAATCAAGAACAAAATCCATGAGCCCGGGAAAGAGCATCTTGTGATAGATGAAGCCTACCATATCAAAAACACTCCAACCAAGCTGGGGATGCAATATCCAGCTCAAGATGGAGTGCACTGCCAAGGCATATCAGTTTTAAGACAAAAAGCCTAAAATTTCAATCTCATGTTTCTGGGGATCCATTTAGGGAGATAACAATATTTGAATCGCATCATCAAATAGATGAACTCCTTAGATATATGAACAACAATAAGGCATGCTTATGCCTTACCCTTCTTTATTTCGTTACCAAATTTATCCTGTAATGTTGCCTGACTAAACAGTGTTAACCACGATCGTCGTCTACAGGAAAAGGTCAGGTGCCAACGATTTAAGGGGAAATTGCAGCGGAGATCCCTCAACCTTTTAAATTTGTGCAAATAGGTCCACCTTGGTCCCCAACAGACAGAAATCATCCGCTTCACCATTTAAATGTCACATGCAAGGTATGTGGAGTATTGTTGTGAGAGATAGAAAGGGTAAACTCGTTAATTTTATTAAAAATAAATAAAAATGGGAATAGAAAGAAAAGAAAAGAAATCAAAAAATAAAAATAAACAAATTATCCCCTACCCCAGCACCTGTCTCCCTGTAGATTTTGGCAACCCCATCCCCTCAAAGTTTATTAAACTGGCCGGTCATCCAGAAAAGGTAAAAGGTTTAGGTTAGAGGATTTGATAGGTAATTTTCAACCATGGTAGTTGTCATACCAGCTTATCATATTAAGCACCTTAGTTATTTTGTAGTTAGTGTGTTTATCGGAGGCTAATGTGTTGTGTTGTGGATATGCTTGCATCCTATGATGCACCGACACGACAAGTACGTTGTGTCGGACATGTTAATACGCGATTTTCGAAAAAAGTACTGACAACACACATTGTTGACGCGTTGATTAAATTCTTTAAAATTCTTAATTTTTATAGTATAAATTTAGATTTATACTTAGTTATTATTTTTTCTTGTTGAAATCTTTTAAAGGTGAGTACCTATTTGTTATTTATTAATAACTTTGAGTTAAAAATATATAATATTAATAAAAATGAAAAAATGTTCATGGTAGAATGTCCGAGGAGTGTCGACATCCGACACCAACACGCTACCCTAGTTGAGTGTCCGTGCCACATACATCTCTCCTCTCATTCAAACCCAATCCCAATCTGAAGGCTTAGAACTTTAATGGCTGCTTTACTATCTTCTCAATACTTGTCTGTTCCCCTTAATCTCTTCACCCCTTCCATTTCTCTCTTCACAGTAAAAAGTAGCAGTCACTGCTTGCTCATCGTCCTCCATCTCCAGTCTATTTGACATCTTTTTTCTTCAGAAAAGACAAACTGAGAAACCAGTAAAGCCACGGCCGGTTCACCAGTTTCCAGTTGGACCAGCCAGTTGACTGATTTTTCCACTGGCTTTCGTACATACCATTCTTACTAATGAGGGCTGAACTGGCCAGTCCAGTCTGGTTTTTACAACACCACCCACCCACTCTGGTTTTTGGCCATTCTCACCCCTGCGGGGCAGGGATAGGTGGGGATTTGTAGGGAATTTGGTTTTTTAACTTTACTTTGCTTTTTTATTTTCATTTCCTTCCCTTTCCCTGTTTATCTCATTCTAATTATAAAGAAGAGTATAACAATCTTTTTTTTAAAAAAAAAATTTGGACTAAAACCGCCTACTCTGGATTGATGTGCATTAAACTTGAAAGAACAAGGATTTAATGAAAAAAATTAAACGTTCAGGACCAATTTTCATACAAGTTCCATAGATTGGGGACTTGCACTGCAATTTCCATCAATTTAAAATATGAGATAAAAGAGAAGTAATAATCTATCCTCAACAAGAGAATGTAAAAGATAAAATGATATCGACATGTAGATCACAAACAAAAGTCCAAAATTTGGAAGGATCAGCAGAGTTCAAACTTAAATAAAAAATTGCATGCATATGGCCTTGCATATACAACACCCTCATACCGAGCAAGATAGTGTGGTCGTGAGTAATATGTAGGAATGAGAAGAGAAGCTATATCTTTCAACAACGAGAACAAAGCTCTAAAAGTATTACATTCTACACTTCTTCTTCTTTTAGCTTTCGTAAAGCAGCTTACTAACAATCTGAAATATCAACAATCAATATCCATATGCCATACCTTCATCGCTTCTCAGTACTTTCGAAGTATCCATCTGGAACCAAACTTGCACCTTCATGATGATTGCCAATCAAAGTATCCACTTGTTCCTTTGAAATCAAAACCAGGAATAAACTTTCCAAATTATTTATCCGCTACATCGGAAATGTGGTTATTTAGAAAGAAAGATCGTAAAAACAAGGTACATGGTTATTCAGAGCTCTGCCCCTACATCATAAATATAGATTTCAAGAGATGAGGATTATAGAAAAAGAAAATACCTGGTTATTTGGAGCTTGTCCATGCATCCGTTGAGGTCTGGCATTGAGATCAATCAGCTTATTCTCCATTTTCCCATCACGGCTATTGTTATTATCCAGAATTGAAATCGAAGATACCATGTGATTTTGTTGATTTTCTTTCCCTTTAAAATTAGACTGCTGAATAGAGTCCCTCTTAGCTTCACCCAGATCACCTTGTTGTGATCCTGGCTCATCTAAGCGGATAGATTTATCCCCTGGAAACTATGGAAGCAAACCATAGAACAAAGTATGAGGCCTTGCATGACTTCACAAAAATGAGTTAGTGTTCTCTAAACAACTACAAACCTCAACCCTCTGCCTTAACAGGAGATATCTTCCATGAGTTCTTTTACCACCAACATGGACTATCATATCACATTGGAGACAAAGGGAACTTCCATCGATCTCACAATAAAAGAAAGCTACATAAGAGGGTCCAGTAATAAATGTATTTCAGAACGAGTTCCAACCTTTCAAATACTTGGAAGGAATAGAAATGAACCTGCATACCAGGTGCATTTTCACATATGTCGCAACGTGGAACTGCACTGGGCTCAGCAAGCCCAACTCGCACATGCCTACTTGCAAGCTTGTTGCACATATGGACCTGTCACACCATGTTAGCCTATCATTGTGGCAACTACAATTTACAGGAAAGAATAACAATTACGCTAAGTATTCCAAAAAGTGAATAAAGATTCCTTCTTGGAATCTTATCGAACATTCTTCAAGCGCATAAGACAGCATGATGCAGATGCCAGCACAGTGCAAGAAAGAACACAAATGCAATCTTCTCAGACATACTGATAGTAGTCTTGCCATCTCTCCCCGACGCTCGGGATATGACTTGATATTAATGACGTATTTTTCCAATTATGCATCCATTACCGGTGCACAAAATATCATGGTAATTAGTGTTCTATAAGGTAATCAAAAGATGATTATTCAATATAATGAGAAGAACCATCCACATTTCAAATTAAGTGTCCGTTTGATTGCAAAAATAGAATTTGGGTGGAAAGAAAACGAATTTCAGAGAATTGAATTGCCTAGAACTTGTTTTATTGGGAATTATCAATTAAATATGTTTAATTGTTATAATTTTCCATCTGGAAAATGTAGAAATTTTTTATCTTTTGGTGTTCGTTTGGATTTGCTTTTCTTGAAAATTCTCAATTAGAGGGATAAAATTTGTTACAATTGTGGATAAAATTTGTTTCTATTGGCAAAAAATAAAAATAAAATAAAATTTAAAAAAACCTGGAAATTGATTTCCCATTCCACCAAATGGAGGGGGGGGGGGGGGGGGGAGGGAAAGAAGAAGAAAAGGAGAAAGAAGAAAGGGAAGAAAAAAAGGGTACGTTTGGATCTCTTCAAGCTTGAATTTAATCTATTTATTTGTTTCAAGTGATAAAAGAATGATTTATGTTGAATTTCTAGGGTGTTAACCTATGGTTAAAATTTTCAGATTTATGAGATAGGAATATGAGTTGGAGTTCTAGTTTCTTGATTCTTTAAATTTCCATTCAATCAAGGTTAGCAATGTTATTTTTAGTAAACCCTAGATTTCTATTTTAATGCTTGAGCAAAGATAGTTTGGGAAAATTATATAATGATGAA